GCTGATGGACAGCTGGCATTGATTGACTTTTGAATAAATTACTTCTTAGTTGTTTTTTCGTATACTTGGCCTCGTATACTTGGCCGCGTCCTAGGCACAGGGGACAACGTTCCAGCCACCATTCTGTAACCTTCCTCCTGTAGGAAGGTCGCAGGAGCTTTAGACGCGGCGTCATCCGGACATCTAAGTATTTCACTACAAATGCCTTATTTTTACTTTCCCTTATACATACGTATGTACGGAGTAATATACGTAGTTAGGGAAATGCTTCGCGAAAAAACTGAGAATTTTCGACAGAAAACAATTAATTGCCGGCGATCGTTGATAACGAAAAAGTGTGTAAATCCAGTTGCTAAATAAAGAAAAAATCCTCTAACACGGTGGTGTATCCAAAATGCCAGTTTTGTGTGTCCTTGATACCGAAAAACCAATTGACGGCAAAACGTTTGTCCGTCTATCCGTCCGTCAGTCAGTCTATCAACACCACTAGCGCCTAAACCATACGTATTTCCCAAAATGGATATTCCCCTGGCTCCATTTAAGGCGCCGCGATTTTGAAAAACTTTCTTCAAGATTTGCAAGTACTTAACATGAAACCCCCGGACATTTTCTTAAAAACGGCTCCAATTATTTTTTCTTTAAATTTCTTGTAAGAATAGAGCAGAATAGACTTCGTAAAGGTGGCACAGGCCACATTTTCACGGTTAACTCCTACGAGTAATTTTCGAAAATTTCAAAAGTTTGAATTTTTTGCGGCGTCTTCCTACACTTGCAATATTGAAGACAGATATTTCTCCTTCAAATAAAATTTTTGTTCTCCATAGTAAGTTCTTTCATTAAGGTCATGTACATTTTTTTGAAAATTTTAGTAGTCTTCGCGCAATAATGCGTGCAATATGAGCAATTTTAAAAAACTACAAAAACAAGATTTCTCTAAAGCGGCTACAATTTTTTTTCTTTTAACTTTTAGTAGGGATAGTGTTAAATGTACTCTATAAGATGACATAAATGTGATGCTGCTCTATTCGTTTGTTTTTCAAAATTTGAAAAAAAAAATTTGTCACATGCTTCTTATGTCGTTAATATTTACATTAGCGACAATTTGTTCACATTATTATAGTTATGAGTACATGTGCTTTAAATAATATCATATAAAGTTTTTCGACAACCCAACCATTTTTTGTGATCAAACTTTCGCATTTTCTGAAACGTTCAAACTCCATTTTCTGTTGCCATGCACTGCTTATTGCACTCTTTAATATGACGCAAAGTGCAAGTTTTCAAAAATGATACCAATGAATTTTTTTGAAAGATCTCTCAGGTCGATAATTTGTTCATTTCCAGCAAATTGTAAACACTATTGTATTTGTGAGTTAAAGTGCTTCAAATGACTTTTAATGACGTTTTTAGAAAATCCACAAATTTTCTGTGAAAAAGAGCTTCAATTTTCGAATTTACAGTCGCACTTAAACGCCAGTTGTTTAAAAACGGCTCCAAATTTTTCAAAGGAATTAGCCATTTTCAACGAAGTTTTACTGTTCTTTAATATTGCTAAAATAGTACTTCGGTTCTTCTATTAGGAAACAAAAAAAAAAATAAGAAAATTTCAAAACAATATACTTTGGGCAGCAAGAAAGAGTATGTGGCATGTGCGAATTGTTAGCCGAAACTAAAGAAAATAGAAAACTAATACCGGGAAAGTCTGTGCCATTCTGTAGTACCACTTAGTACCACGTAGTCTTTTACCCGTTCTTCGTCTTTCTTTAAGTCTTTTGTCCTTCTCCGCTCCTCTTCACATTTCTACTTCAAAATCTTTCTGTTATGGTCCCTTTTCTTCTCTTTAAGTTCTCGGAATTTTCTATTTCTGTGCTGTTTATATTCGACTCTAAGCTGCCACACTAATAGGGCATCAATTGATGTCACAACAGTGCCTCTATCCGGGATGTCCTAGGTTCGAGTCCCGACGGTGGCAGGATTTTCGACTCTTGGCCGGATTCAACTGCTGTCTGGAGGAGAACTCAGGTGTCCGGCTACTCTGTTAGGTAGTCTTTTGTAGTTTCTCTGGTTAATGCCAGGCGAATGCTGGATTGGTACCCAAATAAGCGGGCCATGGACCGCGCGCGATCTTTCCTTCCTCTCTGCTTGTCCTATCCTAACCCCCTACTTATACTCACATGAAGTACATAAAATACACGTCGGCAGACCAGAACTTGTCCCGGCTGAGGCGGTGCCGCGCTGGTGGGATATACCTGGATGGAGGAAAATCCCGCAAGCGGACGGGACTAATGATAATACCAGTTAACGCGCCCGTAAATACGAAATAGTCAATCAATCATTTATGACTACTGTAAACAAATCCTTTCAGCTGCTTAATATTTCCAACATACCAATGCGGCAGTCTGCTTGCGGGTATCTTGGTTTCTTCTGCAATTTACAATCTTGAAGTATGTTTCAATACTGTTCTATGTGTCTCGTACATTCTATTTCAAAATAACGAAAAAATTCTGCAGCAATAGCCAGCAATGTTGCAACACGTTCTTGTTAAAACTAAATGACTAGTGAGTCAATAGTACGAAATAAAATTCTGTTAAAATCGTGAAATGTCAGAATAACTGGGATTGCTACTTTTCAATAAAAATGCTTATAGGGCCATCGTATACGACTAGGCGTATTCTTAGGCCAACAACGCCTCACCAGGAGACCAAGATGGTAACCAGCGCTGTATCACCCCTAGTACCTTGGCGAGGATCGGAAGCAGGTTGCTTGCGAAGGCAGTGGCCGCTGGCGCTCACCCGAGCCGCCCCTGCGATACCCCTTTCACCCCGCCCGGTCGCCAGCCGCCCTTTGGGCCTATCACCCGGCGGTTGCCGACGCGGCTGCTTATCAGCTGCCCGGGGGGTCTGCGCGTGACGTCAGCAGCAGCAGCAGCAGCGGCCAGCTCGGGGCGTCCGGCGCGTGGCTCCGTCTTAGTCCGCCGAGGTCCGCCATGCTGCGCGTGTGCTCCCGCCGCTGGCCCGCGCTCGCCGCCCGGCGCTTCAGCTCGCCCCCCGCGGCGCCCGCCGCCCTCGAGGAGGACGCGGCGGCGGCGGCGACGGCGGCGCCGCCCCGCCCCCTCCGCAGCCACCACCTGGGCCCGCGCGAGGACTTCCCCAGCCGACACATCGGCCCGCGCGACCACGACCAGCAACGCATGCTCGAGCTGCTGGGCTTCAGGGTGAGTGCGAGCCAACCCAGACGCGGTGCGCATGCTTCGACTGCCTGATTGAAGGCGCGGCAACAGCTAAGATGATTGGTGCCTTAAGTGTAGGGCATGTATTGATCGCCGAAGGGGACGGTCTCCGAAGCCCAGACCAGTCCACTCCAGACCTCCGCAGTCTGGCGAGATTCAGCGCCCACCTACGTCAGATTGCTTCCCTAACCGGGGTCAGCTGAGCTACCAGCTGGGCTTCCCCAACCGGGTATCTCCCACTAGCCTAGCACCGTCCCCAGTCGGGATAAGCTTTAAGGTCACGAATAGTCTCCCAACAAATGTGGTAGTGTAGCCCGCGTGAGTAGAAGTGTTTGAAGTAAGGGGTGAGGAAAGGACAGAGAAGGTGAAAATATCGCGTGCGGTCAGTAACCCTTTTGTTAGGGAACTGCACCAGCATTCGTCTGGTGTCGATCGGAGAAACAACGGAAAACTAACGATCAGAGCAGTCGGCCGCTAGATTTCTCGTCCAGCCAGCGGCTGAATCTGTCTAGCTAGTGTCAAAAATCTTGCCACGTCAGGGCTCGAACCCTAGGACCTCCTGGCACTGCAATGACATAAATTGATGCCCCGAGCCATGAAAGCCGGTCTTTTGCTTCGAATACCGGAGCCAGCTCATTCCATTGGTGGAGGTTGTACTCAAGGAGCGAAGTTCGGCTTTTGTTCCTTAATGTAGAGGAATCGATCCTACTATCAGGGGACATGAAAAACGACAACGTAGACCCGCGACTGAAACTGAATCTTAAAACCCTTTTAGAGCACAGTGACAGTCTTATTTCACGACGATGCTTCGGTCCCGGGTCTTCACGATTAAAATAAAACAACTTTTAGTCTGCGCAACGTTTTCTACGAATTTTATGTCCAAATACTCCGTTATCAAACAGCGTCTTCGGGGCAAAAAAGAAAATGGAAAGCGAATTCAGACTTAATTGACGAATGGAGTCATCGGTCAAGAATATTGAGTAATTGTTTTTTAAATTCTTCACAACTCTTGCCAGACGAACATCTCCACGAATCTTTCATACTCAAAAAAATTTCTGTTGGTCGCATGCTTATTCTTAAACTTTTTGTTTGTAGAGTTCGTTCGTTTTCTTGAATAAATGTTCTCTTTTCACTGAAACAAAAGGACTTTGAAACACAACCTGTCACAAAGCACTGAGTCTGTCTTTTCACTGAAACAAAAGGTGCACAAATGTACAGAATTAGAAGGGCTTATTTTCGCGGGAAAATAATAACTATAAAGACTAAAAGTACTTAGAAATATTTATTTAGTAAAAACAGTAAAAACTGTTTGTGACGTATGGGGGAGAAGATCATCTTCGCACTTTTTCTTGAGCAACATAATTCCTTTCCAACATTTAGTTGAAAGCTGAATAACCGTTTAAAAATAAAACAAACAAAATAATACTAATATTTAAAAAAGCGCGAGATAAGCGACATTTGAAAAACTAGAAATTTTTGTTCTTGAGTTATAGAAAATGTATTTATATTGGCAAACAAACTGCAGATTTGTTTTTTCTGCACTACTAACAAAATAGTAATTCATCCCCAGAGAAAAATAATTAATATGTATTAAGAAATAAAGATGTATAAATTATGAAATAAACTACGCTAACTCAAATTACAATAACATGATTATAACCCCACGCCGCAAAGTGCTGTATTGTGCAGGTAAAAAGGATATTTTTTTAATGTTAAGAAGTTTTTACAAAAAGAAAAGTAAAATTCCTTCATTGTCGTGGAAATACTTCAGATGAATTCAATTGAAAAAGTAAATCATTACCATACACGATAAATTGATTCTCATAAATATACGGTATCAGGACTAGCAAAATTTAAAATGAAAACAGCCAAAACATAAAGAACATACAAAGTAATTATAATAATATTGCTAATTGTAGTCAAGCATAAAGAATTCAAATTATAAAATGATTCATCCTAAATTTATAAAAATTGAAATAAATACACATTTTAATCAGAAGTTGCGAGAACGTAAAAAGCTTGTGATACAAAGCAAGACTGTATGTTGTTTTTAAACCTATATAAACATTGCAAATAAATTATACATTTTATCTACTATAGGAGGAACTCAAACCGAATAAATAAAATTCCCTTAAATATTACCAAGTCGATGATCGGCTGACAAACGATTCGAGTAACAGCTAGCGACCCTCCTTAACGGAAAGGGTAATTATCGTTAAACAAAACACCTACGGTATGTCAACAAGGAACACAGTGCAAGTCTTGCTTCTCTCTTAATATTGAATACCGCACATTATGCGATAGCACTCGCTCCGTTTAGTTTCAAAACTTCTGCACCAGTTTTGACCGAATCGAATTGTAATATCTAAAACTACTTTGGCTTTCGAATTTGATCTCATAAAAGTATTATAAACTTACGAAGTGAAAGTGGGCGAGACTCTTTGTACTTATCACAATTTGAGCTTGCGTGATAGGAATCAGCTGTTGTAAAGGTCATGAACGTAACGTCAAGGTCTCTGTCGATAAGTGCCATTAAATTGGAATCGTAGATTCCCGCGGCCAAAGTTAAGTTGTTTGGCCTCCCCAGTGAGCACAGGATGAAAGTTCGTTAACGTAGGCATTTTTACGGGTAAAATGTATTCGTCAACCCGACTAGAAGACCTCGGCGTTTGTTCAGTGAATTAAGAAGAAACTAAACAAAAATACTTTTTACTAAGTAATGGATTAATGACCTTTTAAAATGTTCTTGTTTTATGTTAAGAATAGGCTTTAATTGCATATAGGCAATTATGAAACAGAACAAAATTTACTTGGTATTTAAATTTATGTATCGAATTTAATGTAATGTGACAACTTTTTTAAGTAATGTACGTCTGTGGAGGTCAGTGTTGGAGGGCAACTGTCTGCCGATTGCACTATCTAACAATGTCCTGAAATATTACGTTTTCTAGACGAACAAGGCGAAAACCTTTGAATTCTCAAAAAATTTCATAATTGAATGCTTGAATACGCAGTCTGGAGGTAAAATATTGTGATTATAAATTGGAAGTAAAGGGAATTTCAAAAATTGCGCAATTATTTTCCTCTTTTTTGCCAATAAAACAATTTTTGTATCGTAGATCGCAAAAACTGACGATGAAAATGAATTCATGAAAAGAAAAGTTGATTGCTCTATCAACAGGAAGACAACATAAGAGAAAACGAGCAACATAAAGTAAGAACTATCAAATCGAAGAATTCTATGATTTGGTTTCCAAGAGTTCACATATCTGGATTGGTGTGATCGTGGTTTGCAGGAATACATGGTATTCATAAGTAGCTGAATATGGCATCGTCGACACTTTAATCTGTTTTAAAAATATTTTCATACCAGAAAAATGTCTACTTCTCAAGTTCTAAACAAAAAGAATATCTAAACTTACAGTTGTCTGGGTTATCAACATCGAGCATAGCACGTGAAAAATAATCGTAATATTAAGAATTGAAATTAAATAATTAAAAAAATGTGAGGTCGGGTATCTTCTTGTCGGATGTTCTAAGGGCTACAGACATTACCCATCCCAGCAAACAGTGTTGTATAACCTAATCCGAACGCTCCTAGAAAAGTTGTTCTGAAGAGAATATTTTTCACTGTCTAATTAGAAGGCTATTTTTTTAAAAAATGTACATTTTCAAGCTCCTGTTCTACAACATGTCATTTCATCCTTATAGATTTTTATTAGAATATAATTGTGTAGTCGAAATTATCCTTCTAAAGAGGTGTATCCCATTTGCATTTGCTCTAACATAACATGACATAATTATCCAATAAAACGATAATAATCCTACGCTGACGATAAAACTTCACCTTCTGCAGCACTGCACCGCATACTGTAAACAGAAGCGTCTGAGCGATACATTCTCTAGCGATCTACTGTCTCTCATCGCCTGGGGGCAGTGAGCCACCTCATTGGCGTCACATTTAGCATGATTAAGGCCCATTCGCAATGCAAACATAAACATAAGAATGGCGTTAACATAAAAGTTAGGACTGCGTCCAAAAGCGGACATATTCACAATGGTTCGCATAAGCATTACACGTTCACTTAAAAGCCTGCAAACTTCTGTCCTTATGCTTAAATAAGACATAAGAAATGAACCAATCACAGTTCGGCAACTCAAAATCGAGAATCGAAAGAGAAGCAAAGTCGATAGACGAACTATCTCCATTTGGGTCATGGACACAGTCGATATCTCGAAATCGATTCTCACATCCAACCAATAGTATTCTAGAATGTCTCACAGGCAATAGAAACTCCTATTTTGCTTACTTTTATGTTAGACATTGTGAATACTCAAGTCTATCACTTATGTTAATGTTGACGTCTATGCGTCATGCTTAAGTTTTTCCTTTGCATTGTGAATGGGCCTTAACACCTGCTTGTGGCGTCAAGCAAGACGATTTCGCTGGGGCACATGGTTTGCGCGGCCGCCACTAGATCGCAGCGCTAAAAAGCCAAAACGCTCGTGTTTTGAAAAAAAAAATTATGGAATTGAATGGATCCGAAGACAAATCATCAGTGTCCCCCCTAGGAGACCGAGACGCTTCTAATGCCACTTTGTCTCGGTTGGTGAACGGAAGGCGTCTAACCGCGAGTGACGGTCAGACACATTCCTCTGACTTGAGAATTCTACCAAAGATTCCGGAGATTCAGGGTACTGCTGAGAAGCTGTTGGCCCCGAGAATGAGGGCGTAACAGCTTTTCTTCGATAACTTTTCTTCGATAATAAGTCAACTCGTAATAACGGTTATTAATATATGACTAATCTTAATAAACAATACGTTCACTATCAGCAACCTAACATGGTGGACTGCTAAACTTCGGTTTTTATTTCTTGGCGCCTGAGGGCCTGTCTTCATGATGGAATATCTCACGGCCTTTCACGTCTTTCTCGCTCGTGTCACTAGACGTCGCGCAATCGCAACCGTATCGGGCAGTGCTGGCGGTCATGCGACATCTAGCTGCACGACTGAGAAAGATGCGATATACCATGAGATATTCCATCGTGAAGACAAGCCCTCACGCACAAAGATATAAAAACCAAGTGTTAGAGTTCAACAAGGCAAACCAATGACGTTGGTAGCACCGTACAGTATGTGCAGCTACCTCATGGCGCTTGCTTGCACTCCTTCCCTAAACATCCCCAAGAGATACACGTGTATCGTGTAAACATGTTTGGACCCTAAAATCGCTGATATGAACGAGTAGATGAACAGCCAAGCAAGAATAGTAATTGATATGATGAGTAGCAAATGTGAATAGAATGTTACTAAAATAACAGTGATTCGTGATTCGGGGTCAGATTGCGAATATTATTTCGATTATGTAACTTGGGCATAGTGAAGAGGCGAGTGCCAAAACAATGAGAAAGAGAAACTGTTTTTGCTTACCTACAGCTAAAATTGTAATGACTGTTGAATATCAAATATTATAACACGAGTTATTTGACCGCAACTCATTTTATTTTATCGGATACAAGGAAATGTTAGTGGATGTCACCTAGACAGCAATGAGACAGAAAAAAAGTTAACAAACATGTTGGGCGGATTTAATTTAAAGGACAAACTTCTTATTGAAGTGTATACAATAAAATATAAAAATATTGCGGCACATGGTGGGTAAAAATGACGAATTATTTACTAATGAATCTATAATTCGAACACTTTCTAACCACTAGCTGCAGTAAAACTGTTGTCATACAAAATGGTTGCCGCGGAAGCTTGTAGTAGTTTGGGTTTGGTCAAATGTATAGCAATACTATGAATTTCGACTGATAACGGCCAATAACAGGATAAACTAAATTACTGTTACTTCGCATAACAGTTACGAAACGTTAACTGTTAAGAAACAAGAATTTAGCTGTTAAAGGCACATCGGAGATACAAGATGTTCACCGGTTCACGTTATTTGATACAACTGGAAAGCTGCCAGAGGTATTGTGACTAATGACTGACGAGTCTGCTGGATCAAAGCAGATTGCGGGTTGAGTCAGTGAAAGGAGCTCATATAGCTCGGGATACATCCTGGGGAGTTTTTGCATGACCAAATTTCGAGAGAAGCTTATAACAAAATCAAATGAAAAAAAATCTTGCAAAAATCGACATCCCTGGCTTATTTACTGAATCTCAGAAACTAAATGAACTTGGAAGAAAAGGAAGGGGGACGAAAAAAGGAGAAAGAAAAATATAACTTTTTCATTATATGTAGAAAAAAGCGGCCCCAAAATGAAATTGATATTCTACAGTCACTCAGTAAATTGACAGTAAACCAGTAAATTGTTAATATAATTTTTTCTTCCTTTAAATTTTTTATTACAGCATGATATGTGAGGTGTAATAATTATTATCTTAGTCAAATAAAAAATGTAAAAGTTGTAATGCTGTAAGCTTTCGTCACATTAATGTACATTTTTGATTTCTTTGTGCTAATTTCAGACTTTAGATGAATTGACAGATGCTGCAGTTCCTGAAAATATTAGGCTCAAAACAGATCTCAACATTGAACCTCCAACAAGTAAGTACTGATTTTCATTTGTAAATGCCAATAACCTTTATCCAAAATGCCAATATTTTTATTCAACAAATTCTTTTCATATTGCAGTGCTGTTCATATTTCATGATACAGTGCATGCGTAAAACAGAACCTTTCTTGATGATTCTTTTATTATGGAGAGGAAATTTACACTCCAATAATTATAACATTATTTTTTATTATTTTAACATTATATTTACAAAAAATATGTAATTTTTATAAAGTAAATGATTCTAAAATCGAATTAAATCAATTTTAAACGAGTAGACAATACTTAATGCAAATTGTTCAGTTTTAAATGAAAAAAAAGAGCAAAATCTATACGTTATTCAACCAAAAGGAAATGCATTAAATAGGGAGTTTCTGCACCCTCGTACGTTAAAGTACTATAGATTTTCTGCGCATACGCAGTTCAAGTTTCGATATCACTCGATATCGATAGTGCTGACGCCTATGGCGTGCATAAACTCACTATTACAACCCTAGTTAAATAGCATATTCAGATATTCTTATCCACACACAAACTTAGTCTGTACTTGGCTGCATTGTCAACCTTTGACAATGTTTCATAATATTTTCATACCCATGACAATGTTATATAATATTATCACTAAATTTAATGAATAAGTAACCAATTCTTAATTAGGCACTGTGGGTCATTAGAGATTGTTGTGGTGTAGATTCAAACCATCAATTATTATCATACTCTTTTGTTTTTATTTCATTTTTCTGAGTCAGGGGGTTCTCCTTCAATTACATGACGTAAAATAAGCTTCCTTTAGACACCTTTCCTTCCATGCTTCTCTAACATATGCATGCGCCCTTTTGCAAAAATTACGTAACATTCTAACTTTAACCTTCACTCCCTTCTTTTTATTTCGAAGTTTGTATAGTTGATACAGTTCGTCACATAATTATAAATACTTACTCCGAGAAATTTTTACTTTCTCGCATACGTACGTATATACGGAGTAATATACGTAGTATATAGAAAGTTATAAAGTGCTGTGAAAAATTGATTTCGAGATTTCAATAGAAATACCCGTTTTGGTGTCCTTTGATACAGAATAAGGGTTTTTCATACCGTCAACACTACTAGCGCCTATATTACGCGTAGGATTCTTCCCAAATTGAAACTTTCGTCCATCTGCCTCGAATTAAAACCTTGAAAAAAAAAAAAAAAATTCTTTAAAATTTGGGGGGGGGGGTACATTATATGAAGCCTCTGGGACATTGTCGAAATTTTCTCAAAAACGGCTTCAAATGTCTTCTATAAATTCCTCGTAACGATAGAGTAAAATACACTTATAAAGTTAGCATGGGATCCGATTTTCACTGTTAACTCTGAATTTTCAAATTCAAAATTTTGAAAATTTCTGCGTGTTTCTACGTGAAAATTGAAGAAAGAGATTTTTTCCTTTAAATGAAATTTGTTGTCAATAATTAGTTCTTACATTAAGGTCATGTGCATTTTTTAACCTTTTGGTAGATTTCGCGCAATATTTCATGCAGTATTTGCAATTTTAAAGAATTCCAAAAACACGATCTTCCCAAAAATGGCTCCAAATTTCTTTTTCAAACTTTGGTAGGGATAGTATTAAATGTACTTTATCAGATGACATAAACGCTGTATTTCTATATTCTCTTGTTTTGATTTGTTTTTCAAAAATTACATTGTATATTTTTACTTGTTCCTCGCGTTGTTTTTATTTACATGAGCGGCAATATTTTAATGTTATTGTATTTATGAGTACATGAGCTTTAAATAATGTCATAAAAAGGTTCTCGACAGTTTTCTGTTAAAATAATCTCAAAATTACCCATTTTCTGAGAAGTTCAACCACCATTTACTCAAAAATGGCTCAAAATTTTTTCTTCAAACGATTCCAACAGGTAAGAGTTAAACTGTTTAATATGGTTTAAAGTTCATTTTGGTATAACCTTTTCTTTTTTTCAAAATTACACAAATGTAATTTTATTAAAATATCTATCACACCTATAATATGTGCATTTTTAGATATTTGTAAACAATATTGCATTTGTGAGTTAATGTGCTTCAAATTACATCCAATGAAGTTTTTCAAAATCTCAAAAATTTTCTGTGAAAAGAGTTTCAATTTTCACATTAACATAAACGCTTCAACGCTGTTTTCTTAAAAATGGCTTCACATTTTTTCGTTAAAAGATGCCATTTTTGACAAATATTTATTTTTGTAAAATATTTTTAAAGTAATATTTCCTTTCTACTATTAGGAAACATAAGAATTGGGAATTAAGATGTTGCAGAACTTGAAAAATATAAGAATGTATTCTAGTTCTTAAAAATAAAATAAAGATTGAATTAACTAAATGTATCATTTTTAAACAGGTGAATATGAGCTGATTAAAAGAATTCGAAATGTCGCAGAGAAAAACAAAGTATGGAGATCGTATATCGGCATGGGATATCACAATTGCTGCGTTCCTCATACAATCATGAGGAATATTTTTGAAAATCCAGGATGGTAAACAATATTTTTTTTTAGTATATTTAATTGTTCATAAATTTATAAAGTGTCTGAATCAGTTTAAATATTATAAACTATAATGATTTAATTATTTTTTTAAACCCATTTCCTTACATATTAATTTCAAAATTTGATTAATTTGTGAAGTAGCAGTGTAAATTGTCTCTTCCAGGTTTTCACAGTATACACCATATCAGCCTGAGGTTGCCCAGGGAAGGTTGGAAGGTCTACTAAATTATCAAACAATGGTGACAGACCTTACAGGTTTAGAGGTAGCAAATGCCTCTCTTCTGGATGAAAGCACTGCAGCTGCAGAAGCAATGAGCCTTTGCTTTAGGTGAGAAAGTACATTTTCTCTCAGCTGCTCAAAAAAATTTAAAAAAACACTAACATAATGTTGTATATCTTTGAGAATCAAGTAAATAATGACTTATAAATTCTGAAATCCTGAAATACAGAAAAAAATCCTGAAATCTTGTTGTTTTATCAATGATATTTGTATATTTTTATTAGTTGTGAATTTTTATTAGTCATTTTCATTGTTGTTTAAAGAAATTTATCAGAAGTACTCCCTTAAATATTTTTCTTCATTTCTTTTAAGGGTTGTTCAAATAAAGTAAGTAATAAATTGAAACAAGAAAACATTGACAGGAATAGATCCAAATTTTGGAGTGGGAATTTTTTTTTTTTTTTCAAAATGTGTTGTGTGAATCTGTCATATTACAGATTATGTAGAATGACACAGCTATGCTGCAAAGTGATTTTATTTATTTTATAGATAATCCAAAAAAATTTTTGTTCAAAAGTTTCGTGACTAGCTAAAGTTAATGGTTACTGAAAAATTTTGGGAGTGGAAATTTCCCTCATTTTCCTCTCTGTGAATCCACACCTGATATAGAGGAGCTTACACAAAAATCCAAAAATCAAAATTCAAAGTAGTATGAATAGCATCCAAAATGTCTTTCTGTATACCTAATTTCATTTTATTGCTAGGATAGGTGATGACATCCTCCCACTAACCCAGTTGTCTGCAGTAGCCCTTCACCCATCTCAGCCTTTTTCTTCAACATGTTGGAGTATCACAGACTCCTATTTGGATTTTAATTTCCTGGGAGGGGAATTAGAATGAATTATGTGACCCCTACCTCCAGAATCTCTGATCTCTGCAAAATCCAAAACTCTTCCAAACCATTTTTTTCACATTACTGAGGTGGGTTCAATGAAATGAGTGTTGTGATGAATGAGAAATAGCACTGTGAAGTGCCCTCTGTGCTATAAACATACCATGGAACCATGGTGAAAACATCCATGTCAATGTAGGATTTGAACTCTGTCTTAGTGGGGCACGCACTAGAGTCCCTGCCACAAGTTCCTGTTCCCCGCTCTAATGTATAGAAAATGTTCTCAATTCATTTTAAAAATAACAAAAAATTTGCCACTTGAAGATAATTTGAAGTTTTGAAATTTGTGCATTTAATTATAATTTATTCCAATTCATTATTAAATATGTATTCATGCTTTTGTCATTGTAACTCATATTGCTTGTCTATTCTTATTCACATGTTCATTTCTATTTCAAAGAAAGAGGAATTGGAAAATCAAAATTTATAGGCTTACTGCAAAATCAAAAAACATTCAGAATTTATATTTTAAGTATAAGTTTTCTTTCATACTTTATATATTCTTTCTCATGTATTTTTTCACAGACAAAATAAACGTCGAAGACTCTTCTTGTCTCATTTATTACATCCTCAAACAGTGTCAGTGGTTCAAACCAGAGCAGATTCACTGGGTCTGACTGTAGATGTGGGAAATGTATTTGAAGCAGATTTCTCAAATCGTGATTTTGCTGGAGTGCTTTTTCAATATCCAGACACAGAAGGTTCTATTCATGATTTTTCTGCTGTGTCAGAGAGAGCTCATGCCAATGGGGTAAGTGTGGAGTTAGAAATAGTACTCAAAATCATTTGAATAATCTTGTTTTCACTCTTAGTTCTAATTTCCCTTTTGAATGGCAATTGTGAACAACTTGAAGGAGAATACATTACTTGACAGCTTATTTGAATAATTTGACGAGTAAATATTAAAATTAGTTAATTGAATAAATTAAATTGAAGTGTACATAACATCGACATAATTTTTGAAATGTAAATTAAATAATTTTTTTCTGGAATTAAAATTATGAGTTGGATTATGCTTGCAGACGCTGGTTTGCTGTGCAACAGATCTTCTTGCACTCTGTTTGCTTCGACCTCCAAGTGAATTTGATGCAGACATTGCTGTAGGCACTAGCCAAAGATTTGGGGTACCTCTAGGGTATGGAGGTCCACATGCTGGATTTTTTGCTTGCCGGCAGTCTCTTGTCAGGTTGATGCCTGGACGTATGATTGGAGTTACTAGGTACAGTCACGCATGCCTACATTAAATAATATTAAAAATAATTTAATTTTTTTTTATACAACTAATGTACACTGTTTACCAGTAGTTATTTAAAAATAGATAAATCTTTAGCCACTTGAGGCTTTCAAATTAAATTTACCTCTTAAAAGAGATAAAATAATTTTTCCTACACAGAGAGCTAAGTAAAATTACTATAACTTCCTTAGGGACGTGTCTGAAAATAAAATAACAGCTTAACTTCAAAATGAACTGCATTACCTGGTCTAATTTTAATACCTGCAGAATACTAGTTGACATGTGTGTTTCTTCATTCTTGAAATGGTTAGGCCTACATTAAAAAAATTCTGAAAAATAAGTGATAAAATAAATGTTTTTTTTATAACCTGAGAATACAGTTTTATCCTTTGTTGTAGCACAGACACATTTTACTTTCTTTGTCTTACTTCATCAGAAGAGAAAGTAAGAAATCATGCATTGGAAAACGGTGAATCATCAACAGATAAACAATAGTTGCCCGGTCCTGTTAACAAAAAAATGTTTAAATCATAGATTAATAATCCAAAGTTAAATCATCCATCCATGAACTCATTCATGGTTAAATCTTTTTCCTAAATGTATAAAATGACTTCCTCGAAGTCCTTATGTAGTCAGTTGTATTTTTTGTGTGTCTTTGTTACTGAATAATCATTTGACAGCAAAACATCTGTGTGTCCTGTCAATCTGTGGTCAGAGCTAGCACCTAAACCGTTCAGCCAATTTTCTCCAAAATATACTTATAACCTCAATTGATTTAAATGAACTCAATGTTCACTGAGTTCAAAACGCATCCTTTGATTTTTTGAAGTTCTTTACATAAAACCTAATCATTTTCAAAGTTTTCTCAAAAATGACATGGCTATCTATCAAAGTATGTATCTCGTTTGTGTCAAAGGACAGTATAAAAATTGATGCTAGTCCAATTTTTGCCAAACAATGTATTTTCAAAAATTGCGAAAAGTCAACAATGCAGAAGTACAATATTGAAGATATAGATTTTTCTCTAAAATAGAATATGCTCTAAGAAAGCATATCTTTGAGAAAGGTCATGCACAATTTTTTGGTAAACAATTAGTTTTCAAGTCATCTTTGCTTGAAGTTAATGCAAATTATATTTTAAAAATTTTACAAAACTTTTCTCAAAAATTGCACAAAATTGTTTCCACAAATAGATACTTAAAAGAATAGTGCATGTCTCACTGTTAAACTCTCTGAATTTTCAAAACTTCCGAATTAGAAATAATGTGAGAAAGTATGTAATGTTGAGCACCATAATTTCTTGAAAAAATCTGTTAGAGAAGTGAAACAATTTTTTCCCTTTGTTTAGGGATGCTGGTGGTCATGATGCATATAGGCTTGCACTGCAAACCAGGGAACAACACATTAGAAGAGATAAAGCGACAAGCAACATTTGCACTGCTCAAGCTTTGTTGGCTAACATGGCTTCCATGTTTGCAGTTTATCATGGTCCCCAAGGACTGAAGGAAATTGCAACTCGTGTTCATAACACTGCTGTACTGCTAAGTAAAGGTAGAATTATCTAAAAATAACAGATGGTGATCAATTAGAAATTGAAAATGTTTCACTTACCCAATTGTTAACCACTTTTAACCAAGAATTTGTTATTAATTGATCATAAATGTTTTACAATTTTTTCTGGAATTTTGGTATAGCATAGAGAATTTTTTTTTTTTCCTTGTGCGTTTTAATCATTTCAATTTTTTTTGTCTGTGCAACTGTAAATATTTTTGCATTTGGTTTTAATGTTTTTGATAAATTTAAAATGAAAATTTTATTCAGCATGATAAAGTGACCTTTATACAGCATTGTAGGCTTTCACGGCCGGAGTCAATATTCTTCATGTCTTCCGGGGCTGATGGCCGCTGCGTCCAATTGGCTCTGGGATGCCAAACGTTTCGCCCACGGACTGCAGTGGGCATCTTCAGTGCAAGGTTCTCGGGCGAAGTGTCCGGCCGGTGGCTGACTGGCGATGCCCACGCAGTCGTGGCGAAACGTTTAGCATCCCAAGCCAATTGGACCACGGCCCATCAGCCCGGAAGACATGAAGAAAGTGACCTTTGTTTGAAATGCCCTCTCTAGGAAATGAATTGGAACTTTTGCTATAGTTAAAGGCGAGATTTTTTTGTATTAATGATAAAAATAATAGACATCAAATGTAATTTCTTTGGTGTCTGTTGAGTTGGTTTAAGAATTGATTGTTAAGACCCAGATTTCAGTTATAGTCAATTTTTAAAAGCGAGTGCTTTTAAAATGAAATTGCAGAATTTTCACAATAAACACAATTTATCAATCAACTCTCTTATCACTCTCAAAAACTATAACTTGATTTTTCTTATCTCTCGTTTTTAAAAAAGTTAAACCAAAAAATTAATGTGATTTAGCCAATTCTTTATTGTCAAATCCCAGAAAAATTTACGGGAAAAAATAATACCTCTACCATAATAAAACAAACATTACCTGCTCATGCTCCTGCTAGTTTTACCGAGATCAGGGTGTTCAATAAAATTCAAACTAATCCTTTAAAAGTGATGGTTAATGGATCTCAACTTTTCTATGTAAAATGTTAAAAAGTATTTTGTTTCATGTGAGCATTGTTTCAAGGTGGTCTAGTTTAACCCTATTTTACAGATCTTTTGTTGTTGTTAATCAAAATTCAAATCTGTACACTCATTCAGGAGTTATAGCGTGAAAACTCACAATGTTTCATTACACTCTTTTTTAATTAGATTTTTCATATTTGTTTTATGAGATCCACATTCTATATGTACCTCTCTTAAGAGACTTGCTTTTGTGGGTATCTGTATTTTAATCAAAGTACTTGAGAAATATAGCCCAAAATGACAGTAGTTCTGAGTATATTCTCTGTTGAGTTTTAATCTTTTCATTAAAGTAACATGGAAGATCCTAGGTAGTGCCATCAGTCTTAAATCTTTCAAACCAATTGAGACGTCTTGGCAGTTAGCTGTAAAAACATCATTACTTTAATTTTTATTTATATAGATATGGTTATGTGCAAACTTGTGGAATATATTTGTATAATTTACTATTGTAAATTAAATGTGTTTATAGGTGTTGAAGAAAGTGGTAATATTGTCACCAATGACGTTTTCTTTGATACCATTCGTGTTGTGCCTGGAATGGATCCAGCAGAAATTCATCATAGAGCTAGACAAAAAGAAATCAACTTACGTATATTCTCAGATGATTCTGTAAGTTGACAAGAATTTTCATCTTCAAAATTTTAGTTATAAATGAGATTGAAAATTATGATTGCTGGCAGAAAGATTGATGTATGCATTTTCATTCTGTAGGTTGGAGTCGCATTAGACGAAACTGTTGGTGCTCAAGACATAGATGATCTTTTGTGGGTGTTTGGCTCTAAAGTAACGACAGATGAGGTATTATCTTTAACCTAGTGTTCAGCATATATTTTTCTTTTATCGGATACTAAGTGATGATAAAAGTTTATTACTAATGTTTATTCCAAGTGTTATGTAACAAAAATATCATGATCTGGATTTACTGGATGTTATCAATAAAGGTCATCAATTTTTAGGTAGCAGAGAGGAATAATATACATGAGAAAACTATAATGTCTTCACCATTCCGTCGTACTTCCCCATTCTTGACTCATCCTGTATTTAATTCTCATCACTCAGAAACAAGGATTGTTCGATACATGAAACATTTAGAAAATAAAGATATTTCACTTGTTCATTCAATGATTCCCTTGGTAAGTATTTAATAATTGTATAAAAGATAATTATTAAATTATTAATTGTATTTAAGTTTTGACAAATACTTTGGAATCTCTTGATTTCATTTCAGCCTTTGTTTTTTTCAATTTGTATTTTTCTTTTTTTTTTCAAGGGATCCTGTACAATGAAGCTTAATAGCACAACAGAAATGATGCCATGTAGTTTCCAACATTTTACTGACATTCATCCTTTCGCTCCTCTTGACCAATCACTGGGGTATCAAGAATTATTTGAAGAGCTTCAACAAGATCTTTGTGCCATTACTGGATATGATCGAATTTCTTTTCAGCCGAACAGGTTAGTTTTAATAGCTTTCATAACACAAAGAGGAACGCAAAGGACTCTAAAGTTTCAGAATTATTAGATATCATTTCTTTTTATTTTCAATCTGTGGCTCAATTTTCAAATGTTGAAAATGAATCCATTTTCAGAAATGCAATCTGTTAAACTTAGAGTATTTAACACTTGTAAAGAATCTTAAAACAGGCCAAAGTCCAAAGAAAAAGCCTGCTGATGATGACAATAGTGATGGAGATGACAGAAACATAATTTTTTTGTGTGATTAATCCCAGTACGGGTGATGCATTGTGAATTTGCCAGCATTTCAGCTGTCCTTTTACAGTCTTCAGTCAGCTCTGCAGAAGGCCATGAAAGGATGACAAAAACTTCAACTAACAAGTCCACAATGTGGATTTGCCCTAATAGCCAATAAATACAGAAACTCCAACCACAGAATGTAATGACTTTATGTATGTTTCTATGTCTAACAGTGGAGCCCAAGGTGAATATGCTGGACTGAGAGCCATTAAAGGATACCACGAAGCACACGACCAAGGACATCGCAACTTGTGCCTGATTCCAGTCTCTGCTCATGGCACAAATCCTGCCTCTGCTCAGATGGCAGGCATGAAAGTGGAGCCAATTAATGTATCAAAAGATGGCAGTATCGATGTTGAACATCTTAAGGCTAAAGTGAGGACACAATTTTGAATTTTCCTCAGAATTTGTATTGAATAAAAAATTTCTAGCAAAAGTTCCCTTCATGAACCATTTTTCAGGTACATGAACATTCCGAGAGCCTGTCTTGCTTGATGATTACATATCCTTCAACCAATGGTGTGTTTGAAGAAACTATTGCTGATATCTGCCAACTCATTCATGAACATGGAGGACAGGTATATAGAGATGGATTTCTCTCTCTCTCTCTCTTCTTTTTTTTCTCCCAAACATCTCAATTTTTGTTCAGAAATTCTTTAGTAGCAGTAAATATAAGAGCTAAAATGTTTTGACCAAAATTCAACAGAAAATAATATATTTCAGGTATATTTAGATGGTGCCAACATGAATGCACAAGTTGCACTGTGTAGGCCAGGAGATTATGGTTCTGATGTTTCCCATTTAAATTTACACAAGACATTTTGTATACCTCATGGAGGTAAGATCCCTTACACTAATTTCAGTTTTGTAGTGCAGAAGTATAATGACACTTTGAAGTTACTACAATTTTTTTTTCTCTCCAAACATCTCAATTTGTTTGTTCCAGAAATTCTTTAGTAAGCGTTAAATTATAAGAGCTAAAATGGTTTTGACCAAAATTCAACCCAGGAAAATAATATATTTCAGGGTATACTTTAGATGAGTGCAACATGAAATGCACAAGTTGCACTGTGTGAGGCCAGGAGATTATGGTTCTGTATGTTTCCATTTAATTTACACTAAGACATTTTGGCGGTCCGCCACTACCCTCCACGTTCGCGCGCAGGTCCAAGATCCACCCTCCTACACTAATATCGATTTGTTCTTGGTCAGGTCCTAGAAGATAATGGGACACTTTGTGTACGTACAATCTCACATATTCTAATTTTTCTTCTATGGTGCATGGTCCAGGAATGTGAGATCACATGGAACGTGTAAGTGTATTAAAAAAACCTACTCATTTATTGCATTTACGGTATGCTCGTACTTATATTCGTATATTACGAATTTATACAAGGTATCTTATATTGATTCTTTAGTTCCAGTCATTGGTAACTTCTTTATTCTTTTCTCTTATTTCTATTACACAAAACAAAAGAAGACTGAAAAAAACTTTGTATCTGTGTGTAAAATTTTATCATAATATAATATGATAATAACTTACA